CTATATAGATTATAGGAGGCTTTGCTGATGGTGCTTTGCAGAAAAGTGAGGTGGAGTAGGTCATTGGAGAGAAGGAAGTGTCATTGTCTTAGCTAATAGCTTTCCCACAAGTACTTACCTGTATCTCTCGAAAGCTGTTCAACAGAGTAGTACCTGGGTCTAGGTCTCAGGACTGAGGACTGAGTCATGGTGTCCAGCACAGTGACAAAGCACTGTCTACTTTTCTGTGTAATGCCCTGCATGGCTCCCTTGGTACCCAGGAAAGGTTCTCGTCTTCTCCTTTTCACCTTTGCTTTTTCTTCTCACAGGTAAGAATAAACGAGTTGGGAAACAATTAGCCTCTCAGAAAATCCTTCAACTGCTACACCCACATGTCAAGAACTGGGGCTCCTTACTGCGCATGTATGGCCGTGAGAGCAGCAAAATGGTCAAGCAGGTAACCACCAGACTTCAAGGTCTCCTGGCAGTTGCTCTGCTTCTCTATTCTTGCTTGGAGCTCATGTTTCGGGTCTTGTTGTCAAGGTCAAGCTTGGGAGCACTGCTTTTGATTATGACTGTCTCTGCGGTGCTGTGCCAGTGATTGTATAGGCTGAGGGTAGGAGCACCTAAGCCTCATCTTCCTCTTGAATGTACCAGGCAGTTAAGTATGAGCCATTGGAAGACATTCTTAAACAACCAGGCCTGCCACACACCAGATGATAGATGCAGGCAATGAACAAACACCACCTGATGCAGAATTCTGTGAAGGTTCAGAGGGCCAGTCCTTTGGAAGTCCCCAAGACTATATCCTTGTTTAGCTGAATATTCTCAGTGGCTTAAATAATATGAGTATTGCCTGTTTTGTTTCTGTGGGTTTTGCCCAGATCTCAAATTTTAAATCAGTCCCCAACCTGATGGTTATTAGAAAGTACTAGGAAGTGGGTGTTGGCTATTTCTTTTTTGAAGTGCTAATGGGAACCCTGTACATGCTAGACAAATGCTCTATCATTGAGCTATATCATCAACATTTTTATATTTTTCCTCCTAATATGTAGAAACTACTTGGGTCATCAGGATCTCATCATTTAGAGGAGTATATGTGGAGACCCTGAAGACTGTGCTGTGGACCCTTGAGCCAACCTGCCTTGAGCTGAGCCAATGAGCAGTACAGTACTTCAGGTTCCCCAAAACTCAGGTCTACCTGGCCCTGACCTTCCTGTAGGTAGGCAATGCAGGGGTCCAAGAGCCACATGGAGAATAAACAATATAAGCCTCCTTTTCCTGATTGCTTTTCCTCCCTACTGCTGGGGATGATACCTGGAGCTTTGTATACCACTGAGCTGCATCCCCAGCCTGAAGCATTTTCTAGGAGTTGAAATGTAGGTGCGATATTTGCTATAGTCTGGGGCTGAGACAGAAAGAACATGGCTGCAACCATGGGCAGAGGCTTCCTTCAACTGGAGAGTGAATGGTCCTTGTCTGGCACAGGAACATGGTATTCCAAGACACAGTGAACATCCTCGGCTGTGGCCTCCAAGGCAAGAAAGGAAGAAAACCAAAGAGAATGGCTGGGCAGGCTGTTTGGCTATGTTATGTTCACCTGGCTTCAGCTATGCCCTTGCCACTATCTGATGGTTGCCAGTATAGTGAGTGCTTGATTTCATACTCAGGTGGTAAACACACAGAAGGGACAGTGTCTGGGCCAGGCCAGGGAGTCCAGGGCTGTTCTTGTACCCTCTATCTGTCAGCAGCCAATGCTTTATCACAGAGGGGCCACTGTTGTGCACTTCTGTGCTCCACCAGGCCCTTATGCTCCTGCTTTGGGTGATCATGAGCATACTGCTGCTTGGCAGTTCTGAGAACAAGCTTTGGGTCCCTAGGAGACCTCTGACAAGAGTGTGATAGAGCTACAGCAGTATGCTAAGAAGAACAGGCCAAACCTTCACATCCTGAGCAAGCTGCAAGAGGAGATGAAGAGGCTGGCTGCAGAACGGGTGATTATCTCCCCTCCTCATCCCTTTTCCAGGCTACCTGCCCTCCCTACCCCCTAAACTCACCATCCACCCAGGCAGTCCCCTATACTGTTTCTGCCCACACCACAGTTACTGGGTCATTAGGATTGCTGGGTCAGCTCCCTTCTTATAGTTAGGAGCCCTTACTCTGAGGATGCCTAATCCTCATTCCAGATGAGGTTGGCTTTCTTTAAGCTTTAGCATGGATGGTGCTTTCCTAAAATGACTTTATTGTTAGTCGGATCAGAAAGCAGACATGGTAGCCTTTTAGTGGCTAAAGGTTCCAATTTGGAGTCAGGTATTTGAGGGCAGGATTATGCACTGGACTTGCACTCTGTAACTTCAAAAATGATCATAGGCCTGGGTAGAACTTTAACTGTGGCTGTTATTGTTTCCTGGCCTCAGGAAATAATCTGTAGTCATTCATACTCCTAGGCCTTCTGGGTTGGGAGCCCCTGATTCTGGTGGTATGGCCAGGGTATAAACACAAACTCCAAGGACCTGTCTATTGCTAGTTGCCTGTCTACTGTTCTCGGGTTGGGGTTGGGCCTTTTTGCTGGAGTACTTCCTAGCTTAACTTTTTCTTGTTGGGAGATTAGTTACGGGGATCAAGGCAACAAGCCCAAGATACAGTTCTCTTTGTGGGGAAATTCATTGGGCTTCCGGGCAAGAAAGTGAGGCTAGGATGACACTCACCATAGGGGATGGATCCCAGCTTGTTGCAAATTCTTCCATTCTGGGTATCTCTAGATTGCCAGGGAAGCTGCAGCACATGGGAATCTACCCTGGCATTCTGAGGAGACCCTCCTGGCTTGGCCCAACCCAGCCCGCTCCCTCTACCTTCCCTCCTAGCCAGGTATCACAAGCATTTGTGCTCTCGAAATTCAGGGGCTTTCATCTTTTCACTCTTGTGAACCTCTTTGCTGGTCCCACCTCTACCATCATTCACCTTTGTTCTTCAGGAGGAGACGCGGAAGAAGCCCAAGATGTCAATTGTAGCATCTGCTCAGCCTGGTGGTGAGCCCTTGTGCACAGTGGATGTATGAGGTAGGCAGCATCTGCCAAACAGTGCTACCCAGGAGACCATCAGCCACACATCATCACTCTGCAGCACCAGGCCTCCAACTTAAGTTTCTTCCCTGTGGCAGTGTCTAGGCTCTGGCACATGGGGACAGCTGTGACCACACAGTACACATGCAAAGAAGCAGTTCTGGAAAAGCTACTCTCAGTGTGACTGGATATATTTAAGGATCAACTCTGAGTAACTGCACAAGTGGAAGCTGATAGACAGCTGTAGATCCTGCTTGTATGTATCTGCTGCGGACTGTTTTTATGAAGGTTTTCACTAATTTTAGTACACTATATGCACTGACAAGAAGTAATACTTCGTTACTAGATGAGATGACCAGGTTTTATAGCTTTGGCTGGCCTATGATGCCAGGTAGTCCCTTTGTTCTTGGCTCCTTCTGGTGGAGCACCGAGACCTGGGGAGAAAAGGTGCAGGTATCCTGTCCTGTAGTATTACCTGCTTTGTGTTTTCCACTTTTCCTCTGAAAACGTTATAACAGAATGGAATATTTTAGGCTATTTTGGCTTAAAATAAAACAAAATTTTAGTACCAGAAACTACTCTTCAGAGATTGTAGTAGAGATACTGAACTGTCAAGATACTGAATGTTAATCTGGTTGACCCTTGGGGTTGCAGTCTACCTTTTGATGAAGTCTTAATGCCCTAACTGTTGTCTTCTGGATACTGAGGTTCCACCTTCAATAAACTCTAGCAAGTTTTTTACAAAAATTTTTGTATAATTGAGCCCATCTGTTCATAAATTTTTAAAGTTTTTGTGATGTTTTAGATTTTGGAAAGTAACTTAAAAAAAAAAACATTTAGAATCGTGCATTTCAACAGATGAACTTATATAAATAAGAAGCAAAGGCCAGGGTGGCCCATCATTAACCAAGAGCTGGCATTGTACATGACATGTGGTTATGGCTTCTCTGGATCGCAAGGGTAGCTGCTTAGTCTAGGCAGGCCTGATGTCTACTCATGCTCATTGGATAGCCCTGTAGTTGGGTATGAGTAAAGGTGTACTCAGTGCCTTGTTCAAGTGTTGGCCCAGCCCCCGTGCCTGTTCAGAGGGCCTTTACTCTTATGTTAGTATGTTTACCTGAAGATAAATGGATGGCATTTGTTGTCAGAAAGACAGCATGGTAGCTGAGGGTTTCTCAACACCATAGTCCTCCCTGTGTGATAGCGAACTTCTGTGTTAGTCTTGGCAAAAAAAAACCCTCAGTGTCAGTTGCTAGAACTGGACACTTTTTTTTCCTTCCCATTCACAGTTGTGTTCAGTCTGAGTGACCATTGCCCTTAAAACAGATTTGCCCAAGAGAAAGCCTTGAGCACATGGTCATGGTGATCCCTCTGTAGCTTCACTGACCCAGGCACTATCATCAGGTGCTGCTGCCACATACTCCTAGTCTGCAATGCTCACCCTGTCATGCTACAAGGTGGGGAGCCTGTGTTGATGCTGCTTCTATGTGCAGGCCGTGGCTGTAAGTACACCCTGAACACATGGAATGGCTGGTTTCTTTCTTCTGATGGCAGTGCCAGGAACTGTCCTGGAGTCAGCTATATTAAGTGCTTTGGCAGACATGCCTAACCCTATGTGAACTCAGCCATCCTCAGTGCTTACCTGGAATACTTGGTTGGTGCTTGGTCCTAAATCCTGGCTGTCTGGGGCTAAATTTAATCATCTTTCATCCTGGCATTCTATTAATAAGCACATGGTGCATAGGCATAGTAGCACAGATTTTAATCCCAGCCCTCAGATCTAGTCTGATCTGCATAGAGATGCACTATGCATCACAGGGGGTGTTGAATATGAATAGAGACTCAAATTTCTAGTCTAGTCTTTCCTGCCTTCCAGAAAGGATTGGCCAAGTCTACACCTGATGACCTGACAGACTACCGAGATATTCTGATGGTGGCAAATAAGGAGTAAGTCAAGGCTCTAGCTATCACCAGACATTAGTAAGTCAGCAATTGTTTATTCTAGAGACTGGTTAGCTTATTATGGAACACAAGTGTTTATACTCCTTGAACTGTAGTACCAGTTAGGTAAACCTCATGTCCCACCACTGTTTGCTTGGTCATCCTCCACTTACTACGAAGCTGTAAAAGAACTCCCAGATTTTGTCCTGCACACATCCCAGGACCTAGGATGAGAGGGGGTGTTCTGTTTCCTGTGGAGTGGTGTCAGGATTTCTTGGGGCTTGAAGGTCTTGATTCCCCAGGGCTCCTATGCCATTAGAGTGTTGTTCCATCCTCTCAAACAGGATAAGCATCTCACAATGTGGAGTCTGTGGGAACAAGTCCACAGCCACAGCCTTGACAGGATGGAATGGGATGCCTTTCACTCGGTTAGATGGAGCCCTGCAGAGGCTGTTGTGGGAAGGAGGTACCAATATTAGTACCACAAAAGTTCCAGTAGGTAACAGATGGGTGTCCACCTGTCAGTCTTTACCCTGCCCACACCAGCACTTACTCCACAAAGTTGCCCATGGCTGCCCGGGGGTTACAGGAAACATAGAGGACCCGCTTGATGTTCTCAGCTCTCCGGATGGCCAGAATCACCTTGGAATCTAACAAGGCACAGAGGGGCTAGTTTCTCCTAGTGGTTGACTACACAGCATAGCTTTTCCCCCCTAGTACTACCTCCCCAAAAGGAAGCCACTCACGTAGGCCAGCCCGTGGGGGGTCTAGAACAGCTACCAGTCGCTGTGAAGACAGTCTGCTCACCAAGCCTGGCACCAGATCCTCAGCCCTGCCGCAATGGAACTCAACGTTGCTCAGCTCTAGAGACAGTGTTGTAGTTGTCAGTGAACTCTGGGACTGGCACTGGGAAGGCCTGTTAGGCTTTTAACACCTTCCTTCTCCAGCCAGCCATAAGTCTGCTTAGCATGCCCATTCCCCGGGTCCTCAGAACCTCAATACATTATAGGTGCAGTAATTTAAGCACACAGCAGAGGTTCTCACCATTGGTGAGGGCGTTCACACGAGCATCCTCCACAGCCTCCTGGCACAGCTCAATCCCCACTACTCTCTTCACCTTCTGAAATGTAGAGATAGATAAGCCCCACTGTTGCTTGGGAAAGGAATAAACAGCACACAACTGGGCTATATCTGGGACAGGGTAGCAGCCAGCCTCAGCCTTCAGGCTCATGATAGCAGATAGAGTAGGGAGGTGTTAGGACTGGGAGGCTTACCGGGGCCAGGGCGAGGCCTATGGTGCCGGTACCACAGCACACATCCATCACCGTACTGCCCCCATCCAGCTGGGCCCATTCCCCGATGATTGTGTAGAGCACCTCAGCTGCAGGTGTGTTTACCTGGAGGTTAGTTAGCCACAGTGTACTCTAGCATAGGCTTGGATCCCTACCTCATCTAGACACCAGTGACCCTTTTAAATAACAAATTTCTTAAAACAGAGAACCCTCACCAACAGGGAGCTTTTCCCCTGGCTTTGCAACTTCCCCCAGGCCAACTGAGAGTGACTTCCTACCTTATTCTAGAAGACCTTGGAATCTCTCTCCCCCTCCATCTCCATAAGGTTTTCCATAAGAGTGGCTCAAATGCCAAGGAGATTGCTATCATAAAGTTCTGGGTTTGGTAGGAGGCAACAAGGCCACATATCACTGAGTTAACTGCAAAGGCCTATCAGTGGCAAATATCCCTTTCTTATCCTTCATCTTTATTCTGGAGCTCCCATTACCTGGATCTTCTCCAGGCTAGTAACTTGCTGCCTTCCCTTTTTCCTCCCTCTGTGTGTGTCTTTGTGTTCACAAGGGGTATGTTACCTGGAAGAATGCATGAGGGGAGATGCGGAAGGTCAGCCCTAGCAGGTCCTCCTGGATGCACTGATCACCAGCCATATGCTCCAGGGGGAGGTCTTTCTGGCTTGGAGTCTTTCTACAAGAGAGGAAGCAGATCTGTCAGGGTCAAAAGGCCTGTCTGGCTCCTTACCAGCCCCCACCTGGGCTCCTTACCTCTGTCCCTCCTCCACAAAGTAGAGGGAGGTCACCCCACTGGCCTTCCCTGGCCCCTCCATGAAGTGGTACACCAAGGATGCCTTCAGTCCTGCCACATCCTCAGCGCTCAGTTTCTGTAGTAAAAGATAAAAAAAGTCCATCAGGCTATGCAAAAGCCAGCCTACACCAGACACCCCAACAGGACTACCGTAACCTGTGACCTGGGGATGGAAGTAGGCAATGGCCATGGCCTGGCCTCGGCAGCTGGTACGGACAGTCAGTTGCTTCCAGTGGCCTGTATATGTCTCAGGGTCATATGCAGAGTATGGCGTAGACCTGAAGAAAGCACAAATGTCTTGAGTACCCAGTCTGTGCCAGTCTGTCCTGGCACGTTGTCTCCTTCCCCCACACAGACAACTCCCAGGGCAGGGCCCACACCCTCTAATCCCAGATGGATTGGGGACTTCCCAGGAGCCCGAGCCAGGTCCCCACCGGATGAATTCCTGGAAGGCCTTCACCACCTGCTTAGTGGCCTCTGGGATGTGCACAGTGTCAAAGGGGGCTGCCACGGCACATGTTCCGCCCTTGTACTTGCCAAGCCGGCAGCCAACAGTGTTGTCCTCTCCATCTACCCCAACTCCGACCAGAAACTCACACTTATTACGATATTCCGTCTGCAGGAGAGAAGGTGGCAAAAAGGCAGCCAGATCTCAAATAATAATGCCAGGCTCTGAAAGAAACACCACAATGAACAAGAGACCCAGACATACCCAAGGGGTGGCAGGCAAAACAAGGCAAGAAAAATGGACCAGTGCCAGGACCTGGGCTTTACCGCAGCACTGTATGACAAAACCAAACAAGGCCAGCCTCCCCTCCTCACCCATAGAATGTGATTTTTTTAGCCAGCCTGACCTGCTGGGGGGATGGCTTGACTCCCTCCAGTGGGCAACAAGCCTTATTGTGCTGTTGTCTCTGTGTGAGCAGCCAGGGTAGCAGGGCACGGTTAGTGTTCCCAATTTCCCTGTAGAATGAAGCACATTCGGTTGGACTTAACACTGTTCTTCACCTACACTGGGGAATTCCCATGCGGCCTCACTATCCCACTAATATCAAAGGGGCCTTAATTACCAGTTCCTTGGTTGCCCACTTTAGACCAGTGGTTCCCAATCTAATACTGCCTGTGACTCTAATATACTTCATCATGTTGTGGTGACCCCCAACCATAAAGTTACTTTTATTGTTACTTTGTAAGTGTCACTTTGCTAAATGTTACAAAGTATAAATATCTGTTTCCGGCTGGCCTTAGGTGAAAGAGTTGGTGACTGGCAGGTTAAAAACCACTGACTAAAACCTAAATAGCCTGTGCATGTCCTGAATAGCCTACAGGGTTGGTGGAGCAGACCAAGAGCAGAACCCAGCTCTGCCCGGAATGTCAGTGTAGCACTCACTTGGCCAGTTTCTGTAGCACCCGCTCACATTCCAGTCGCTTCTGCTCCAGCTGTTCAGTGTAGGGCACTGTCCAAAGGGGAGTCACTACGTCGGCAATTTGCGTTGCCGGAGGCTCACTATCACCTTCCTGACGCCTCTTCCTAGCCATGGGGTCAGCTTTGGGTCGGGCCAGGCGAACGCTGAGTGGATGGCCTTTCCAGAGAGCTCCGTGCAGCACTCGCAAGGCCTTGTCTCGTTCAGCAGCGCTGCGAAATGTTACAAAGGCACATGGTGGTTGTCCAAAGAGTTTGATTTTGTGGGATTGTAGGCCAAAACGGCCTAAAAAACGCCGGACATCACTGAAACTAGCATGGCGAGGCACATTTTGTAGCTCCAGTTTAAAGATCTCTGAAGTGAACAAATCATCCCTTATGTAGCTGTAGAGCCCAGGCTGAGTTCCAGGTCCTGCAGTTGGTCCAGGCCCCTGCTTTTCTTCTTGACATTCTGGGGCTTCAGGGCTGTGTACTGCACTGGTATCCGGGCCGCAGTCCATGTGCTCCCGAACCTGTGTGGGGACCGATGGGCCAGGTGAAGGCTGCACCTAGCATGACTACTGCCTCAGGCTTGCTCCCTAACGCACTGCCACATCTCCATGAGTGTACACTGTACCCAGCCCTGCCCAAGCCCACTTTTTACTCTTAAAACCCAATTCTGCCCGATCCTATCTTGGATCCAGGAGTAATAACTGCTTCCCAACCCCACCTCCGCCCACCCCGTCCACATCTGCACTTTGCTTTACTTCCGTGTCCAGCTTCTCACTCATCGCCTGGCTCGTCTGTTTTCTGGACCAGGGCGTTCACGAGGACCACCACCTAGGCCTCACACACGAAGTGCTCAGAAATTAGGGGCCACGCCGTGAGAGTAGGCCGCGGCTCCACCTCACGCAGGAGGGATTCAAAACTCAGAGCTGGCGCTGAGGATCGCGGATGCACCATCCACTCCTCCCAAGCCAGCGAGGGCCACACGCCTCGCCCGCCTCTACCCGGCCGGCGCACACTAGCCGCGCAGCATTCCTCCAAGGGCCTGGCTTCCGATGACGTCACCGCCACGCGCCGAGTCCTGACTGATCCTTCCACCAGCCCCTCACAGTAGCGTCAGAGGCGCTTAGGTCTTGCAGACGGAAGTGCGCGCGGAGGTCGCCGGGAGAGCGCGTTCCCCAGGCTGAGGCGCGGCCGGGCATGCGCCGCGGGCGTTTTGGCGGGAAGAGCGGGGCGGGTCGGACAATGAATGTCCGCCGTCAGAGCCAATAAAGCTGCACTGGTTTTGAATCACGGCTCGTTTCCCGCCGCTAGGGTCAGGGGTCAGGGTTCGGGTCGGGGGGCGGAGGGAAGAGCGGACGGGCGGGAGACGCCGGCGCCAGACGCGGAGGAAAGGAGCAGCGACTAGCCGCCCAGAGGCCGCCGAGCCAGCGACGCCTGAGCCAGTCGAGCCGCCGTCGCCGCGCCCTCATGGCGGCCGCCAAGGTACGGCGAGGTCCGGGTGGGGCCGGGAAGGCCGGGAGGCAAGGGCCGATATGGGCGGCCACGTGGGCGGCCCGCGCCTCGGCCGCCAACCCTCGCTGGCCTGCGTGTTCCGGGCCTGTCGAGGCGCCCGGGCCTGGGGGCCTCGAGGTGTTTGGGGTCTAGGAGTGGGAGATGCCGGCCAAGACTCGGGTCTCGGGGGCTGCGGGGCGGCGCGTGACCTTGTGGTGTGCGGAAGAGCCGCCGTCGCCACGCCGGGCTTCCCGGCTTCACCTGGGGACCTGGCAGGCGGCCGGTCTCCTTCGTCCTGGCCCCCTTGTGATCTTTCCAGTAGCATTGGGCACCCCTCCTCCAAATGCCCCTAGACCCCTTCATTCATTCGGTCATTACGTCTGGAACTGTCGCCGCCTTTGGTGGCGGAAGCTCGGGTTCCAACGCGGGGTATTGATGTTAGACGTGCGGACTCAGGGCGGAGGCGGCTTTGTTGGTGGCTCGCGTGTCGGCCGCAGGTTAGCCGCAGTGCTGAGAAACCGAACGTAGGGCTGGCTTCTGTTGAGTTAAGTAGTGAGTCTGGGGTTTTTCTGTATTAGGAAAGCACGTGATCTTGTCAGATTTTTAAACGTTGATGCTTTTGTAATCCTCCAAGGTGGTTCAGAATCTTAAGAGTTTATTTGTCAAACTTAGCTTCTTTCAGCTTAAATGTTCAAACTTGGGTAAAATTGCTGGAGGGAGTGTCCTAGTAAATAGCAAATGCTTGGATAATCCTCAACAAAAACTTACGCTTGCTTTTCTTTTTGAGTTTATTATGTTATTTACATGGCGGGTATCATCTCATTTTACAGAAAAGAGAGTTTCTCCCAAGCTACTTTGCCAAGGGCTTTGTTGTTTGTGTATGTGACTGATTGGTGTCTGGATGTGTAGAAGAGGTGTCAAAATCCATTGTCCTGTTGCGTGCTATTCTGTGATTTTTGTGATGCTGGTTGTAAATGCAATCTGGTGATGTAAAAGATTTAATTTCCAATTTAGGGGGAGGCCTGTCTTCGTTTTCCAGGTGCCATTTGAGATTGGTGATGCCCACTGTGGGCCAAGTCCACCAGCCAACAGCATCACTTCTCCCCCTCTCTGCACAGGACAGTCATGAGGACCATGATACCTCCACAGAGAATGCAGATGAGGCCAACCATGACCCCCAGTTCGAGCCAATAGTTTCTCTTCCTGAGCAAGAAATTAAAACACTGGAGGAAGATGAAGAGGAGCTTTTTAAGATGTAAGTCTGCTAAGGTATCCTTTGAAGTATCTTTAGATAGGCTGATCGAGGCAGAAAGAGAGAAAAGACTGTTAAGAAACAAGTCTCTGCTGGGCATTTCTTTGAAAACTTGTAATACCCAATTATCACAGTTACGCTCTCCTCTCTGTTTTCTGGAGGAGCCAGCCAAACTAGGAACTCTGTCTCCTGTGCTGGTTTTTTTGTGCTCAGGTATAAGCTCTAGTGATATCTTACAGCATAACCTCTTTGTGATTTCTATCTGGAACTGCACAGAATTCTCCTGATTTAATTGCTGTCTCTGAGGTTTGCAGCCTCTCTGCTAATCTAGGCCTCGAGTGTTTTCAGCCTTTGAGACTTACTGCTGAATAAGCTCACCCTTTCTATTTTCTGGGCTCTTGATGGCTGGTTCAACGCAGGTATTCTACCTCAAACTCCTCTCCTGGTTGACTGATTGAATCTGTCTTCTCTCTCTCTCAGCCTCTGACTAAATTGCTTTGCTTGGCCTCAAACTAACTCTAGCAATCTGTTCTAATCTTCTGGCTCCATTCTCTGGCTCATACTGTCTTCACCTGTGGCTACCTAGCTTGTTCTCTCTCTTCAACCTCTCTCTGTAAAACTCTCCTGGTGAAAACTGCCTCTGAATTCCATAAACTGAACTACTGCAAACTCAGCTCCACTGCACTGCCTGAGCTCTCAACCAAACTGCCTGAACAGCACTGACTAGAACTGAGGTCTGTCTCCTTAATGCTGGGATTAAATGCGTGTACCACCAAGCCTGGACCTAAGGTTTTCTTTACCTGAAACTTCCTCTATACCAAGCCGGCCTTGAACTCAAGAGATCTACTTGTCTCATCTGGGATTAAAGGCATGTCTGTATTCCAGCCAGAGTAGCCATATTGCTGGATTAAAATTCCTCTAGATTTGGCCCCAGCTTGATAAAGGCTGTTTTAAGAAAGGGCCTGTAGTTGTATGATGACTAGTCTTACACTGGAAATTCAATCATTTGAATTTTGATTTGTCAAACTTGCCTGGTGTCCCTGCTGTCATGTGGCTAGTTGTGTGAAGGGTGTCCCCATCACTATTCTGTCACCTTGGTGTCTCCCTAGCTGACTTTCTGCACCTTGCCTCCAAAAATCCACAATTCTAGCAGGCTGTGGCAGCTCTCACACCTTTAATCTCAGACAGGCAGATTTCTGTGGGTTCTAGATTGGCCTGGTCTACATAACCAAGGTCCAGGACAGCCAGGACTACATAGTAAGACCCTTTCTTGGGGTCTTCCCTTCCTTTGTTGGGCAGGTAGTCTTCTTTGCTTTTTGTTCTCTCTGCTTTGTTTTCTGTTATCTTCTCTGGGTATCCTTAAAAATTGAAGTTTGTTTAGCTCGTTTGTTTATGTATGTGGGTGTTTTGCCTACATGGATGTCTCTATGCAATGTGTAGCCTGATGCCCCAGGAGGCCAGAAGAATACAGTGGATCCCTGGGGACTAGAGTTACAGACAGTGAGTTGCCGTTTGGTCCTCTGGAAGAACAGCCAGTGCTCTTAACTGCTGAGCCATCACTCTAACTTCCAGCTCATGGTTTTGCAGATTAGGTGGTCTGAGGGCATTGTGCTAGTCTCTCCTGTGGACCTCAGTCTCATCTTAATGTGCTAGTGTATCCAGTAGCAATCAAGGGACTTCATAATGCCAACCTTTGCTTTAAATATAAGCTGCTGCTATTTTTGGCCCCCCATCCTCATAGTTTCATCTAACCCTCTAAAGGACACATTTTCAAATACTATTGATGCGAATTTGGAAATTGAGTTAACACATAAACTATAAGGACACAGTCAAACCACAGCAGGCAATTCAGCTGTCTAAAGCCTGTGCATGTCTTGTACAAAATGGCAGTGGAAGTGGCTTAGTTATCAAAGTTGCATTTTTAAAAATTACTGTGTATGTGCCACTTGATGCCCTCAGTGAGGAACTGCAGTAGTAGTTCTGTAATTCTGGATTTGCTGTTGCCTTGTTTTACTGTCCTGCTGATAGAACACATGCTAGGCAGGTACTATACCAATGAACTATATCTCCAACCTCTTTTTTTCCCTCTTTAAATTTTACACACCTGGTCTTGAACCTGTACTATCAGGCCAAGACAGCTGAGCACAAGCTATTTTGTATCTGGTTTCACTTCTTAGCAGAGAGTAGCATGTTGTTGCCAATGCTCACAATAGCTGGGCACTAGGTTCAGGTACATTCTAGCAAAGGTTGTATTGCTCTCTGGTATGCCTTCTTTCAGGTATGCCTAAGGTGTCAGATAAAGGTTCATCCGCTCTGAAGTCGGGGAGGGAACCTGCCCAAAGAGAGCCTTTGAACTACCTAGAAGGTGGTGGGCCGGAGCTCTATTCTGTAGCTCTGGTGAGGGTAGCATGTCCACCTAATCCTGAAAGTGCTCCTGATTTCCTATGCAGGGTCCTGGGTATAGTTCTGGAGACAGTATCTTCTGCGTTTAAATTAGGGCTTTAGGGCTTTCACTTAAGTGAAGAAGACACAGTCCCCTTGACAAGACTGAGTTTGGAAGAGAGCAAAGGCTTTGTCAGGGAGACACAAATGTGGCCTATAGTGCAAGGGTCCTGCCTGGCCCTGAGTGCCTGATCCCTGGAGTCTGTGAAAGCTTTCTCCTGACAGAAAGCTGCTTGCTGGGCCTGTTGATGATATCCTAAGGCTTTGTGTGGTTATAGGGCACTCATGTAGTGTGACCGGGTAGCCCAGCCCTCTGGACCTTCTTTACTGCTCTGGGCCATGTGTGTCCTGAGGAATATCATTTGATAGGAATATCTTTCTGGCTGTGATGTAAAAGCAGCCTGGAATTTGTTGGGTTGGTTATTGTGCTCCCCTAGATTGTATTTTGCCTAGTAATTCATGGCACCCAAAGGCCTTAGAAAAAGGTTTTTGGTGAGGACAGTGCTCAACAGTACCCTTACGTTCAGCACACCAAAAACAGGTGTTCTTTTGGGGCAGTTGGTCCAGGTGTGACTTCCCTCTCTGTCTAAATGTTCCCTTACTGGCTTTTCTTACAGGCGAGCAAAGCTGTTCCGGTTTGCGTCAGAGAATGACCTCCCAGAGTGGAAGGAGCGAGGCACCGGAGATGTCAAACTCCTGAAGCATAAGGAGAAAGGAACTATCCGCCTTCTCATGAGGAGGGACAAGACCTTGAAGATATGTGCCAACCACTATAGTAGGTGGTCGTTCAGGTCTTTATACCCTAGAATTTTTAGAGCTGGTTACTTGGGGGTCGGGTAGGTTTGTGGTGCTTACTGAATTTAAGAGTATTTTTCAAGCTGGGCATGGTGGCTCACATCCGTAATCCTAGCACTCAGAGAGGCAGAGGCCGGCGGGTCTGTGAGTTCGAAGTATTTTCAAACAAGCCTTTGAACTGTACAGAATGCTAGCTGTGGGCAAGATAGGTCTAGGTCAAAAATGTAGACCTCCAGGCTAGACTTAGATGGTCTAATGGCAGGTGTGTGTTTGTATGTTATCTGGGAAAGTTGGAGGTGTCCAGTACCAAAGCTGCTGTTCTCTCACTTTCTGATACAGGATGAAGTCTCAACAAGCCACCCCTCCCCTGTTTGTCTCAGGCTGTTTAGGCCCCTCTTGGGTTGTTCTTGATCCTGGTAGAGAACCCTGGTGCAAAACTTAAAGATTTTCTAAACTTGAAACTTTTTGTGTGGGGGGTGAACTCTGCATGTGGAGGCCAAAGAACAACTTTGTGGAATCTGTTCTTACCTTAACACCTTTACATGAATCCTGAAATAAACTTGTGTAGCTAGTGCTGAGTGCATCGTGGTGGGTGTGCACACACACATGCGCCGTCAGTCCCAGTTTGGAGCATTTCCTTGGGCATCTCAGGCTGCTCCCAAAGCCTGGGTAGGTTCTTGAGTGATCTCTGCAAGCCTCTCCACTTGGACACCTGGTGGAGCTCCTTGTCTAGTGCACCTCCCAGGCCCTGGGGGTTGTGGGTTGTTGGGTACTGTCTTAGTCACTGTTCAGTTGTGTAGAGACACTATGAGCATGCAGCTCTTAGAAGGCATTTAATTGGGGACTTACTTAGTTTACTATCATCATATTAGGAAGCAGACAGACATGGCTCTGCAGCAGTTGCTGATGGGGAGAGATTTACATCCTGGTCTGTAGGCTCTAGACACTGGCCCTAGCATCAGCTTTTGAAACCTCAGAGCCTACCCCTAGTCACACTCCTCCTTAAACAAAGCCACACTCGAACAAGGTCACACCATAACTTTAACCTCTGAAACTGGGAATCCCCAGAAGGACCTCGAGAGCCCAGCCCTCCTAGTGGCCTCTTTTGAGGGTTAAGACACGGAGACAGGATCTCATTGTGTATTCTAGGTTGATCTCAAACTCATGGCAATCCTCCTGCATTAGCCTTACGCCATCCTGACACACATAAGCATGAACCAACATGCCTAGTTCTACAGCCTTCTTTTGCCCACACCATGGCCAGGACCCAGCTCTCCTCTTGTTAAGCTGACAGCCAAGCATGTAAATGTATGAGCCTGTGAGGGCATTCTCATTCAAACCACCGCAGCCATTGAGCCAGGTATTAGGGAAAGTGAGGATGTGAACAGTGTGCAGAATTCCTGAGACCACATTGGGTTGCTGGGGATCAGATCTCTTAGCTTCAACTTTAGCTGTCATGTGTGGTCAGATTGGTTCATGAGTCTCCCTGGAATCCAGGAAATATGGCCAAGGGTACAGGGATCAGTTGCTGGAAGTAGATACCAGTGAATGGTATTCTAGATGAGCAGGTTTTCAGTGGGGGACAGCTATCTGTCAGTGCTGGAAGCTTTCCCCTCAGCTCCCCTTGGTTTTGTAGGACCTGAGGGATTCAGAATAAGCATGTTTGTTTTGAGCCAAGACTTATCTTCCATGATATAATAGCATTTGTCTTGGGATTTTTATATCTACTGCTTAAGTTCTTAACCCTAAGGTCTTCCTGGACTACAGAGGGCCAAGTAGTTACACCATGTGATAGCCTTGCATTCAGGCTTCTTTGCTTCTGTGTTTCCTTCCATCTTTAAGCTGATGTGGTTTTCATCAATGCATAGAGTTGTGTAGGCCTGTATTTTAAAATTCCTTCCCAGGAGCAGATGTAAGCAATGTCTATATGTCTCCTACGGTCCCGATGAGAAATCAAGGTTTGATGCCACCAAAGTTACTCTGGGAACCAGTTTATTGGGCTTTCTTAAAGGGCAAAAGTGAGGAGTTGTTTACAGGGTGTGGGTGTTCTTCACCCCGTCAGGCTGTACCTGGAAAGTGTTGACCTAGCAGGATGGTGGCTTTCATAGGTGGAGCCCCTCTCCCCTAGTCTTTCCCAGCCTAATATTCTAGTCCCTCCTGGAGGAGGGCACAAGCAATTAGGACAAGAGTTGCCTACGACCAGTGGTAGGAAGTAGCTGGATACTCAGGTAAGGCGCTCTGACCTTCTCCGACCTTGAGGGGATATAAACAGTCAAGCCCAGCTGGGATAATTTGCAAGTGGGCATAGTTGCTTGGCTAGTTGCTTGGCTCAGAGGGTAATCAGGTACAACAGCCTGGATCTCAGATCCTAGGCTCCATGATGGCTGAAGTGGGTTCCTTACTTGTGAGCAGATTGCTCTGGGTGAGGTCTGGGTGGTTTGGCCTAGGGTCCTGCTGTCCTCACAAGCTTCTCTTCCCTAGTCACACCAATGATGGAACTGAAGCCAAATGCTGGCAGTGACCGCGCCTGGGTCTGGAATACCCATGCCGACTTTGCTGATGAGTGCCCCAAGCCTGAGCTGCTCGCCATCCGCTTCCTAAATGCTGAGAGTAAGCAGAACTTGCCCAAATGTGGGTCATCTTGGGGGTAGCTGCTGCTTTGGGGGAATTGACGTTGACCCAAAGCATGCAAAGCCTGCTGTGTGAAATTCTAGGGGTCTGTATAAACAGTTGTTGCATCCAGTTGACTCCCATCAGGTGTGTGGAACCAGAGACACACCCTAGAGTTTCCTCCTGCTGCTGCTTCTTCTTGGTTTCTGGTTCCTCAAGACTGGGACGCTGGTGTCCCCTACGGACGCTTAGGCACCTGTACCAGCAAAGACTGCAGAGATCTGCAAGCCCTGGCTGATCTCTCTTCCATGGGGGAATCTTTCTAGTCTGAATTGCCACAAAGCTGTGCCCTGGGGATCATGGAGAGTCAGCAGGTACCATGGCAAATGCCCTAGTGGCTAGTGCTCTTGTGAAAGTGAGCCTTGCCCTTGGTCTGGGAGTATAACATTATCTGGTAGCCCTTTGAATATGAGTAGAGCCTGTAGCAAGAAGGGTCTTGGCCCTTGGTTGTCTGAATGTTTATAGACAGCTAGCTGAACACAGTCACTAGCTTCTAGAGGGACACAGTAACCAGTCACTCAGATATTAGATGGTCAGAGATTGCTATTGGGGCTGGGCTTATTGGCGCATGCCTTTAATCCCAGCACTTGGGAGGCAGAGGCAGGTGGCTCTCTGAGTTCCAGGACAGCCAGGGGGTTATATAGCAAGATCCTGTCTATAAGAAATAAAAAAGAAATTGCCATTGGGGACCATGAGTTGGCTTTTCAGACTCCAGGATCTAGCTACTCTACTCTGAGAACATTCAAAGTCTCTTCTCTTTCTACAGATGCACAAAAGTTCAAAACAAAGTTTGAAGAATGCAGGAAAGAGATTGAAGAGAGAGAAAAGAAAGGTGATATGGTGCTCCTGGGGATGATGAGGATGGGTGGTCCAGCTTCTTGCAGATTCACTCTGCACCTGGCTGCAGCTCCAGTCTGGTGCTTTTGCCATCTGCCAAAGAAATATTCCAGGGTGCTGTGACTGCCTCTGCCTATCAGAGGCAATACAACTGCCTGGGGACACAGCCTGACTCCTTGGAGGCTTTGACCTCATAGTGTTTGTGCTCAGTTTTAGGTAGAGAGCTGAGTCACAGCTCTTTGGAACCCAAGATATTCCTGACTTTCTCAAAGAATTCTGTTTTATGTTCCTCTGGGTCAGATGGGGCCTGGGTTAGTAAGTGACATCACTGAGCAACTCAGTGGGTATCACCAGCATCTTGCGGGGGCTTCTTGAGCCCATCTGGGGTGAGCAGTGGGTGATGCGTAGGTTGGTCCTGCACTGGGTGAGTGCTGAGGGTAGTGCGGTCCACAGGCAGACTTTTCTGTTGTCTTACTGCACTTGCCTGTTTTTTGCAGGACCAGGCAAAAATGATAATGCTGAAAAGGTGGCTGAGAAGCTGGAAGCCCTTTCTGTGAGGGAGGCCAGAGATGAGGCTGAAGAGAAGTCTGAGGAGAAGCAATGAATCATTCTCTGTCCATTTCCTTTCTTTTTCTTTTTAAAAATTTGCCCCACCTTTTAAGGCTTGTTTTTTTTTTTTTTTTTTTTGTTGTTTTGTTTTGTTTTGTTTTCTGTTTTGTTTTTACAAGGGATTTTATAAAGAACTGAATTCCAACCTTCAGGTTGTTTTTTTAAATTTTTTTTCTTCCCCAGTTTTGACACCTTTCAACATGACTTCAGAAATTCATTCCCCAGTCATGAAAATGTACTGTGCTAACTTTCTTTTCCATAGTGGAAACACTTATTTATAGTCATCAAAAATAGTGAATAAAAAATGCCTTTGAAAACCTGGACCATCTGGCAAGGCTATGTGGGGGGTGGAGAGGGTATCTGGACACTATGGCATGGTCTGTCCAAGCTGGTGCTGGAGGCCAGTAGGTTGTGGGATGGCAGCTGAAGGGCCCAGTGGAGCTGCAGCTGGCATTCAGGGCCAAGGTGTGTTGTTTCCTTACTCTGTGCTGTTGTATGGACCACGAGTACTTCTCACCTTCGTGAAGCAGCTAAACAGATCTGGCTATAGGAAACATTGGTTTTGGTTGACTGGTTAATTTAGCAGCCCTCAGTGGAGCGAAAGGCCACCCTGGAGGGGCATATTCATTTTAGTACTGTGCGATAGTGTAGCTGTGGCTAGCCCCCAAAACCCTTATATTGGAAACAATTAGATGCCAATTAGTATCTTCAAATGATACTTTAAGAGTTTGGGCCTTGAAGTCTAAATTCAGGATTGTTACGATTATGGGACTAGTTAATAAAACCAGCCATGTGTCTGGCTGGAGAAACGGCTCATCAGTTAATGAACATTGCTGCTCTTGCAGCAGATCTGAGTTCAGTTTTAAGTACCCACATCAGAATTAGACAACCTCTTTGCTTAGATAGTGCATAAGTGATATGCACATATATGCACAAAAGAAAGGCCTGATATGGTTCATCATGAACTAACAGTATGAACCTCAGGAGTTTCACCAGGCCTGCCCTTCACAGGGTAGGAGCCATGGGGACCCTGATTGTAGAATGATAGCAGGAACTGGTCACTAGCAGACTGCTATTAACGTCAGAGGTGCTTTAGAGTATGGATATTTATTTGTTGTTGTTTGATCTCCATCTTTCAGTTTGTCTATTTAAACACTGACTCTGTTGTGTCTGACCTTGTCTTTTGCAGGGTGTGCTTACAAGTATAGCTTTTATTTGTTTTATCTATGGTTATTTTTTTACTTAATAGTATTTTTAAGACAGGGTTTCTCTGTAGCCCTGGCTGGCCTTGAACTCAGATCTGCCTGCTAGAATTAAAGGTGCTACTACAGTCCATCTTAAAGCTTTTTAAGTTAGTATTCAAAATAAGTTTTCATTGTGACATTGCCATATAGATGTATTTTATCCATGTCCACACCACCCTCTACCTTGTCCACCCGTTACAAAAGTACCTTTTCATTCCTCCAGCCGGTCTTTAAAAGCCAGGCTGTCTCTTGGCTTTCTCCATCCCAGGAAGAGATTTATACACATGGTGGGTCCTAGTGCACTGAAATTGTGTGACATTGACCATATGTGGCCTTCAGTGTACCAAATGGAAGGACTGCCCGTGGGTTTAATCTTCCTCAAGGGAAGCCCTGGACTGAGAGTTCAGGTACACCTTTCAGTATAGTGCAGAATAACCTTTGGGTTGAGTTGTAGTAACAGGCAAATGAACCTTTTAGGTGGGAGAGATGCTCTCAGAAGGGTGTTTGTGTTAAAAAGGAGCTCATCAAATTTCTTCCCAGGACCAGTGTTTGGGATTTTTTTTGCATGTATCTGGCAGTGGAGGATAGCTATGGTAGCCCCCCTATACGGCATTAATCTAGAGCCAGACCCAGAAGGATTCCTTCCATTTGCATATGCAAATACAGAAAGGCCCCTCCAAACTGGCTAGGGGACGATGCTGTCCTCTGCTCAGGTTGTATTCTGGTATACATTGAACTAAGTGGCTTGTTCACACTTGTAGAATGTGTAGCTGAAAAGAAAACCTGCATTGGTCCAAGTCATGAATTCCTCAATAACAAGAGTTTGGAAAACATCAACAGGTTATTGAAGCTATCCAGCCTGTCATTGTATCTTGAGGTGATGGTAGGCAGAGGCTGTGCTAAGTGCAATGAGGTCTTAACAGGTTAGGACTATAAGAAATACAGGAAAAAGCAAAAAACAAACTGGTGTATAGTAGCACTGTGTTATCCATGGGAGGCATTCCAAGACCTCCAGTAGATGCTGTGTATTGTAAGTGTTATAAGGTAGGCATACTGGGAGATTCACAGTAATGAAGCCAGACACGGCAATAGAATCAAGTGGCTATGGTCTAAATAGCTTACTGTAGGTCTCGGCAACCTCAGCACAGATTCTTTTCTAATTAAGTAGAACACTTGTCTTTTGCTTTGCAGGGTCTCTGGCATCACTACTAGTGCACTAGTGGGGATACTGAGACACAGAAGGTTACAAAGTGTCAAATGAGTAGGTAAATCTGAGTGAATTCACATCCAAGGCAGAAAAGAACAGGATGGTGCAGTTGGTTGGTTTGAAATAGTCTCACATAACCCAGGCTGGCCTGGAACTGGCTGTGTAGCTGCGGATAACCTTGAATTTAAGATTCTCCAGTGGGCTGCCATTCTACCAACTGAGCTACATCCTAACCTTTTTTTTTTTTTTTTTTTTTTTTTTTTAATGTAGCTTAGCTAGCCTGGAACTGTGTAGTCCAGGCTGGCCTCAAATTTGAGATCTACCTACCTCTGCATCCCGGGTGCTGGGATTAAAGGCATCTGCTGTCCTACCCAGCTTGTTTGGTTTTTGAGTTGGGTTTCACTGGGTAGCCAAGGCTGGCCAGACTTGAACTGTGACTTGAGACTGCCTGCCTCCATGTTCCAATAGCTACTCGTTACATGAGTTACCACACCCAGCTAACAGTACACAAATCTGAATTATTTGTGGAACTATTTAATAATTTTGGGTTGTGGGTAGCTGAAAACATAGCTTTATACCTCCATCTCAGGTCCCTCTGCTGGGCTGACTGCCACTTTCCACATTTTGTTTCATTCCCTTTTTCTCTATCCTGGGCTGTGGGTTCCATGGCTACTCTGGTAAAGATCTACCTGGGCCTCAAAGTGTTCAAGCCCCCTGCTGCCTTGCCGGCCCTATTCAGGAAGAAAGTTACCATCATCGAACTGAGCTCTACCCCACCCAGGACACCTGCCTGGAATTTTGCACTGAACTGAAGGATCGCACAAACTAGGCAAGCTGGCTTCCATGGCCGGTGTTTGCTATTTTCCTACATGGCTGTGGCAGTGAAGGAATGTCGCTGTCCTGGTACCCTACATACAACATGATAGTAGAAATCTGACCCAAAGGAACTCTGCAGTGGGGTACTGAACCTGTGAGTGATGGAGCCTTCTGAGAGGGCCCTGGGGGTTCTGAGCTTTCTGTATTATGGGCTGCCAGAAGGACAAGGTCAACGTCCAGGCTACAGGTGGGGTGAATTCAGCTGAGTTGTATGCCTGCAGCAGAAGGCCAGCTGGGTATGAACAACAGAAATGAGTGTGTATCCACTCTGCTTGCCACTGTGCCCTGAGGTCGCATCACTGCGTATCTTCTCAATGCTGGAAGAACTCTTGGGTGACTATGTGCTATGTCTTTTGCCATGGGATGACCAACAGAACAGAAATTTGAGAGAAAAACCATCACTGTTTATGCTGTTGAAAAGTTGTTTCTACATCAAGGCATCCAGCCCTGAGCTGTGGAGCTTATGGCGGGGGTTTTAGGGAGGAGGTGGCGGCAGGATTCTGGCTGTACAGAAGCAGATAGCAACAGCCAAGGGATTAAGGGTCCCCAGTATCTCCATCTGGGGAGAGGTGGGAGACAAAAATGTGGCTCTGGACTTGGGGTGACACTGGGGAATCTCTGCCCAGGCCCTGAATAGGCTTCAGAGTAGATACTGCTGCCTTGGGAGTGGCCAAGGCAAGCAGTGGAGTTTGACCAAGTCCCTGCTCAAAACACACCAAGGCTGATCTGCCAGGGGGAGGCAATGCAGCTGCCTAGCCCGCCTGCCCACAGCGCCAGCATCCTTTGGAGGGCCGCTCCACCTTAAGCAGCAGCCTTCTGGCGCTGGCAGGTGGGATTTCCCGCGGGCAGGGAGCATGCGCACCCTCGCTATTAATGGTCTGAGCAGAACACCAGCGCTTTTCCTAGGACACTAGCCTTCTAAAGGCGTTTCTCGTTCTCTTACTTACACATGCCCTCTATCAAGGCTGCGGCCCGAAGCAGGACGCAGAGGAACTCGGTGGCCCAACTCCTAGTGTGTGGAGGGCTGCGAGTTTGGTAAGGTTTTGATAACCACGATGCCCCTACCTTGTTACAGCAGTCTCCCCCACACCCTACAGACTGCCAGGAGACTTGAGCCTGCTCCGCGACTTTGCTTGGGGAGCATGTAGGCACAAGAGAGGTCCTGGGCTGGGGCCTGCAGTCGCAAGAAACAAACAAACAAACAAACAAACAAAAACAAAAAAACAACGGGCTTCCCACGGTCGTGCGGGTCCAGAAGGTCGCGGCGGATGCGTGGACCGCCGTGTTAGCCAGCAGGAAAGGAGTCGGCCGCCGGGCGCTCCGCCCTCGGCCCGCCCCCGCCGAGGCCCTGCCGCCGGGTCCACCTTAAGGGGCGCGCTGACATCAGCGCGCCGCCGCCGCCCGTAGGGTGGGATTTCCTCCGCTGCCGCTGCCGCGGATCCTGCGCCGCGTCCAGCCCGCGCGCCCGACCCCGGCCCGACCCGGCCGGCCCCGCCCGCCCGGCTCGGGGAGGGATGCGGCGGCGCGGCGCCCAGGATGCCCCGCAGCCCCGGGACGCGCCTCAAACCCGCCAAGTACATCCCGGTGGCCACGGCCGCCGCGCTGTTGGTTGGCTCCAGCACCCTCTTCTTCGTATTCACGTGAGTCGGCGCCGGGTCCAGAGCCTGGTGGCAGTGGGGGGCCGAGTGGGCGCATGTGCCCCTCGCCGGCGGCGGCGGACTGGGGAGATTAGTAGGGGCTGGCGAGGGCTAGGGGCTGCATCCGGGGCGCGCGGACAGGTGAATGTCTGGCTCCTCTGAGCGTTCTAGCAGGCCCTGGGTGTGGCTGCAGCCCTTCTTTCCCCCGGGGCTTTGGAGGGGGACGCGTGCCACCCAGAGTCACCAACCCTCCTCGAGGCGGAGTGGGAGATGTGAACTCCTTCGTAGCAGCCAGCATGTAAAATCAAGTTATTCCTGCGATTCCCGCGTAGGTGTGGCCTGCCCCAGAGCCGCGGCTG